TAAAAATAAAATAGGTGGGGCACGGTGGCTGGCGCCTATAATCCCCACACTTTGGGAGGCTGAGGTAGGGGAATCACCTGAGGTCAGGAGTTCAAAATCAGCCTGGCCAACATGCTGAAACCCCATCTCTACTAAAAATACAAAGATTAGCCAGATGTAGTGGTGGACACCTGTAATCCTAGCTACTCGGGAGGCTGAAGCAGGAGAATCATTTGAACCTGGGAGGTGGAGATTGCAGTGAGCCAAGACTGCGCCACTGCACCGCAGCCTGGGCAACAGAGTGAGATTCTGTCTCAAAAAAAAAAAAAAGTCCAAACTGCCTAGGCTGGAAGCAAATAGAGTATACCTCACAAGCAGCCTCTCCAGGTTATCTTTTCTCAGTGGAACCCCTTTTATCTTCAACACTCAGACTTCATAAAATGTCCATATTTCTCCAATACAATATTTTTTGTACCAGTGTTTATATAGAACATTTTATTTGTACATTCCCCAACTCAAGATAACATTTTAAACAAAGTAGGATGTGTGTGAGGGAAAGGGGAAGAATTTTCCAGTTACTTTCCAATTATAATTGGAAGGATGTCAGAATCACATGCAGATGTTTTGGAAAGCGCCAAGTGTCAGCAAAGGGATATGAGTAGGATGTTAATGGCTCCACACAAGCAAATGTCTGTTAAAAGTCCTATTAACTGTTTGTGATCAGGAAACAATGTTTTGTAAGGTGGGGTGACTCATGCCTCTAATCCCAGCACTTAAGGAGGTCAAGGCAGGAGGATTGTTTGAAACCAGAAGTTTGGTCAACATAGCAAGACTCTGTCTCTACGAAAACTAGGAACTTAGCCAGGTATGGTGGCACACACCTATAGTCCGAGCTACTTAGGAGGCTGAGGTGGGAGGATTGCTTGAGCTCAGGATTTAGAGGCTGCAGTGAACTATGATTATGCCACTGTACTCCAGCCTGAGTATCAGAGTGAGATCCTTTCTCTAAAAAGATAAAAAATAAAGAAAGCAATGTTTTATGCATCTTATGTACTAAGTAATTTGTGAAATACATTGGCATATTGCAGCATTTTAGGAGATTTATTGCCAGTGTTATATTGATAGGAAATGGACTTCTCATTATTTTCATTCAGTTTCTGGCGTTTAGGAATGAGTTTCTCATGTAATCTAGACACAGATGGTAATATAGACAGATTACTATTGAGAAAATACATAAAATGGTTTGTTCAAATCTAAAAGAAAAAGATGAAACAGAAAAATTTAAAAATCACTAATGGAAACAGACTATTCACAAGAGAAAACAAATAGTGAAATTAGCCAGTAAATATAAACAGTACTCAACCTCACTGTAAGCAAAAAAATACAGTAAGTGTATTTTCTTGATCTTAGCCAAAAGGCCGAGAAGTGATGTATGAAATATATTTAAACAATGAACTACCCTTTTAAAATCCAGCAGATTTACAGAAGTGAAAATTTCGATAATATTGAGTTGTTGAAGATTTGGGAAATCAGGCACTTTTACATTTCTAGTGGCTGTGAACATTGACAGAGGCATTTTTCATGGCAAATTTCTGAAATCTATTAAAAACTGTAATGCATACATACTTGAACAACTAATTTCTAGAAACCTATCATTCAGAAATACATATATTCACAAAGATGTATGCATACATTTGAATAAATATTGCAGCATTATTTGTAATATCAAAAAATGTTGAAAAAATCCAAAATGTACACAAAGAATTTAAATATATTATGGTATAAAACACCGTGCTTTCGTTAGAAAAAGTCAAGTAGACTCATATGCACTGAGATGAAAGCATATTAAATGAACAGAGCAAGTTGCAGAAAACTACATGCACAATTTGATATTTATGTGAATGCCTGTAGAGATATGTCAGCAAATACATAGGCAAGGAGATTGAAAGGATGCACGCTGAACTGTCTAGAACGGTTGCTTCTGGGAGAGAAGTAGTTGTTGGAGGAGGTGCTGGATGCTGGTATTCTCCTTTACCAAACATTCCAGCTTCTTACCCTGCAGTGCCTCGCCCAGCAGGAAGATATTTTCCCATACTGTTGATCTCAGGAATGACCACTTTACTTGCTTTGGCCAATAACTGATGTTGGTCACTTTTGTGCAAAGTTTTAGAAGTCAGGGCACCATTTGCCTTATCTGTTTTTTTCTGCCATGAACTCCAGATAGAGGTTAGGTTCTTCCATTAGTTTTGGTTCTGGAGTCAAGATCGTAAAAAGCAGAGCCCATGAAAAGCAAGACTTATGAAAAATATGTATGGTTGGGTGCCATGGATCACGTCTATAATCCTAGCATTTTGGGAGGCCAAGGCTGGTGGATCACTTGAGGTCAGGAGTTTGAGACCAGCCTGACCAACATAGGGAAACTCCGTCTCTACTAAAATACAAAAGTTAGCCAGATGTGATGGGGCATATCTGTAATCCTAGCTACTCAGAAGGCTGAGGCAGGAGAATCGCTTGAACCTAGGAGGCAAAAGTTGCAGTGAGCTGAGATTGCTCCACTGCATTCCAGCCTAGGCTACAGAGCCAGACTCCATCTCAAAAATAACATTAATAATAAAATAAATAAATAAACAAACAAATAAATAATTTTTTTAAAAGAAGAAGAAAAATAGAAAAACTTGCAGTGTGAACAAGAGAAACAACCTCACACCTATAATCCCAGCACTTTGGGAGGCTGAGGTAGGAGGATTGCTTAAGGCCAGAAGTTTAAGACCAGCCTGGGCAACATAGGACAAATAAATAAATAAAGCCACTGAGGTTTGTGGACATTTGTTACTGCAGTATAACCCGGCCTGCTGTGACTGATACCAATAAGGGAAGACTTCTATGGGTTTTCTTCCATATTTTCTTTAGTGCACGGACACTTTGCAATACACATAGACTTAGTATTACTTGTAAACTAATTTTTAAAAATTGACACCTCAGCAAAATTACAAATGACCACCTGTCAAGGGCCTTCAGGATTGTTGACAATTAGAAACTGCAAAAGCAAAATCCTGGAATTCCAAGGGCAAATTTGAAGTGCCTGCCTGAAACGTGACTGCACACCAACACACTGTGTAGTGCTGTGAGGAGGCAAGAGGGATGTTGTCAAGCCAGTGACCAAGAAATATAGAGGGTAACTAGACAGGTGAGAATTCCTCTTGCGTACATTAGTGGAAGGAAACCAGGGCAGTCAGCATTCCACCTTCTAACCACAGTGCTGAAGCGCATCCCAATAAATGGTGGGATCATAGTGGCTGCTTTTATAAACATGATGAGATGTTGTTCTTCAGTCATAGGGATTAAGTTGCAATGATTGCTGAGTCACTGTTGTCTGAATGTGCCCGTCTGTTCAGATGTGTCCTGAACATAAAGAGTTTGAGAACCTCTGGCTCAGGAAGTAGGGCCGGTAATTATGCGTAGATCTTCTTTACTGGTAGTTGCTGCCCCTCGCCCAAATTTAAATGCTCAGTACTTACTCCTTCCTGGAGCGCCTGTTCCATGGGGACCAGGTGAGACTGAAGAAAGAGGCTGACAGATCCAGTTCCTCAGAAACATACATTTAATCGGGACTTACAACCAGAGGCCATGTCTGTGTCTCAGGCAGCAGTGAGGCAAGATGCTGGATCGTGCACCATTTATTCTCACACCCAGGGCTTATATGCTATTGGAAAGGGTATATGTGATTCAGAATGGGTGTGCAGAACAATTGAAGTACTCTAACATTAAGGTTGCTTTGACCTCAGGGTAGGATTTACAGTAACTACCCACTCTCACACAAGGAACATCAAATAAACTGGAAGTCTTAGAGGCCTTCCTAGAGCAAGGGTTAATCGGAAGTTAAAGTGATGCATTAGCATCCAAGGTGGAGTTGCTTTGGCCTCCACAGCACCTCCTCTTGGGCAGGCGCTGTAATTGCCGTTAGCAATACAGACGCAATTCTCGCTATCAAATGCATAGCCTAGTAGAGGAGACAGGTACATACATAAAGGCACAGATAACAGTAATAGCAGTAGTAACCCGTTCTTAAGGGTATAGTAGTTTTCAAATATTTATAGTTCACACATACACACACAAACCAATCCAGCAAGCCCAGTATCATTCCCCTACTTTTGCAGATAAGGACACCGAGACTGAGAGAAATGAACTGGCTTTCTTAGGTTCTGACAGACCATAGGTAGAGACTCAGTCTCCAGTTCTTCTTGTCTACACTAGGTGACCTCCTGTGCAAAAGGATGAGTAAATAATAGCATCACAGTGAACCAAAGGCTGAGAGGCACTGAAGAGGAAAACCTTGAATCCAAACGTTAACCTGAGAGCAGAATGCAATAATCCAGCTTTTCGTTTACTTTGTTCCCAGAGGTTAAAGCAGACTCCAGTGAGTGGAGCAGCCTGAAAATCTGACTTTGGTTAGCATTGCTTTCATTTCTGCCTGCATGCCCGCCTCCTTCTAGTACTGGAAGTAAACATCTTACTTGCTTGGGGCATGGGGTAGGGAGAGTGAAGTCCTCACAATAGGTCTGCTGTTTTGCAAAGAATTCTGCAAGATGCAGATTTAGACCAAGGGAGTGGAAGCAGTGGGAGAAGGGGTGGTGCCAAGGTCAACCCCTCAAGTCCCTTCTGTGGCTGAGGCTAGGAATTGGTCACATTTATTTGCCATCAGCTGAGTGATCTGTTTTAACAGTTTTCCTCGTTAGGCTCTCAGCACAGAGAAATATCCTAGGAGATTAAGCTCAGTCAGTTATGTTCTCTGTTACTTAAGGGAGTTTAACCTGAGCAATGGTTTAGCAGGGCTCCCAGTCCCAAGACCATTTTCATATGGGCTCATTTTCCCACTTACCAGGGTGAGTGAGAACAGTGAGTGGAGGTTTCACCAACAGAAACCAAGTATCTGAGCAAGGGTCTTGGTGGTGGTCACCTGTGCTGGGCTCTGCTTTAGGGCTGAGGTCTCAGCCTTTGCACCACAGGATCCACAGGAACCCATGGACATGCAGCACAGCCAGTGGCTTGTTAGCCAGGGAAGAGAAATTCTGGACAACCTATGGGATGTGAGTGATTCAGATCTATATTGTGAATGGAAGTCAGAGAAAAAAGAGATTCATAAGAGTCTTTTAACAAGTGCCCCACCTAACAAAAATGGTAAATAAAGACAGAGAAAGCCTGGGTGCAGTGACTCATGTCTGTAATCCCAGCACTTTGGGAGGCCGAGGCAGGAGAATCACTTGAGTCTAGGAGTTTGAGACCAGCCTGGGCAACACAGTGAGACCTTGTCTCTACAAAAAAAATAAACAAAATTGTCAGAGGCGTTTGAACCAGAGCAATTCCATCTTGACAAGGGGCTGGGTAAAATAAGGCTGAGAACTGCTGGGCTGCATTCCTAGACACACATTCTAAATCACAAAATGAGATAGGAGGTCAGAACAAGACACAGGTCACAAAGACTTTGCTGATAAAACAGGTTGCAGTAAAGAAGCCAGCTAAAACCCACCAACACCAAGATGGTAATGAGAGGGACCTCCAGTTGTCCTCACTGCTACACTCCTACCAGCGCCGTGACAGTGTACAAATGCCACGGCAACATCAGGAAGTTACCATATATGGTCTAAAATGGGGAGGCATGAATAGTCCACTCCTTGTTTGGCATATAATCAAGAAATAACCATAAAAATGGGCAACCAGCAGCCCTCGGGGCTTTTCTGCCTAGGGAGTAGCCATTCTTTTACTCCTTGAGTAAACTGGCTTTCACTTCACTCTATGGGTTTGCCTTGAATTCTCTCTTGTAGAAGATCCAGGGACCCTCTCTCGGGGTCTGGAGTGGGACCCCTTTCCAATAACAAAATTAGCTGGGCATTGTGCGTGCCTGTTGACTTGGCTACTTGGGAGGCTGAGGTGGAAGGATCGATTGACCTCAGGAGGCTGAGGCTGCAGTGGGCTAAGATTGCACTATTGCACTCTATCCTAGGTGTCAGAGTGAGACCTTGACTCAAACAAACAGAGAAACAAATCCGAAAACAGAAGGAGAGAGAAAATGTTAATGTCAGTGAAAGAGGCAGTTACCTTGTGCCTGAGAAACATGGGCTTCTGCATGGAATGTGAGAAAACCGTATAATCATTTCAATGGAGCAACAGGTGGTGAAGATTTCTTCAGAGATGTGATTCAGTGACATGTAGTGTCAAGTTTATATGAGTGTCACATTTTCTTTTAATAGTGTTAAAAATGACTCTAAACTTTTGAATCATCAAATTATACTCAGCTGTTCTTAGGGGACGTTTTGTGCTTTTGTGAAATGAGCAATTGAGGTTGCAAAAGCCCCTATGGTATGCCCTGTTTCTGACCTCTTAACCTGTGGGTGTCTTGGGAAAGGAAGTGGCTTAAAAAATAAAGTCTTTATTTCCCCTGTGCCTGGAAGGGCCAGGAGAAGGTGGAGGGCAGTGAATGTCAGGTGGCACTCTCTCTCAGGGTTGTGCAAATGAGTTTCTCCTAAAACTTTGTGCTCTCAGTGCCTTATTGGCCCCAGCCTAGTCCTGGCCCTGGGGTCAAGCACAGTGCAGAGAGGATAATAGCAGCTCCTTGGCCAGGCACAGTGGCTCATGCCTGTAATCCCAGCCCTTTGGGAGACCTTGGCAGGTGGATCACTTGAGGTCAGGAGTTCAAGATCAGCCTGGCAACATGGTGAAACCCTTTCTCATAAGTAAAATAAAATAAAAGGAGCTCTTTTGTTGAAAGAATAAGAGGATAAGCAAATGAAGTGTATAAGGAAGGGCATACACATTGGAAAACTCTAGATACTGAGATACTGAGTGTTTCACAGCCTTTGTCCAGCCTGTGTTACAAAGGGCTCATGTTGAAGTATGTAACAGGGCCTCCAGTATCATCTTAGCTCAGGCTGCTATACAGCATAACATATGGTGGCTCAGACAACAGACGTTTCTCTCTGATGGTTCTGGAGGCTGGAAAGTCCAGGATCAAGATGCTGGCAGATTCAGCTCCTGAGGAAGGCTCTCTTCCTGCCTTACAGATGGCTGCCTTCTCACTGTGTGTTCCTCACATGACAAAGAGAAAGAGAGAGAAAGAGTGGGTGGTCTCTCTTCCTTTTTTTTTTTTTTTTTTGAGACGGAGTCTTGCTCTGTCACCTAGGCTGGAGCACAGTGGCACAGTTTTGGCTCACTGCAACCTCCACCTCCTGGATTCAAGCAATTCTTCCATCTCAGCCTCCCAAGTAGCTGAGACTATAGGCATGTGCTAAACGTCCGGCTAATTTTTGTATTTTTAGTAGAGACAGGGTTTCATCTTGTTGACCAGGATGGTCTCGATCTCTTGACCTTGTGATCCACCCACCTCAGCCTCCCAAAGTGCTGGGATTACAGGTGTGAGCCACTGCGCCCGGCCCCTTTTCTTATAAGACATTATTCCCATCATGGGGGCCCACCCTCATGACCTCATCTAAACTGAATTACCTCCCAAAGGGCCCACCTCCAAATCTCATCACATTGGGAATTAGGACTTCAGCAAATGAATTGGGGTGAGACAAGGCACAAACATTCAGTCCATAATGTAGTGCATTAAAATTATACATTTTGGGTCCGTACTTTGGCACAAAAGTTCGATCACAGTAATAGAATTCTAAAGTGGCCGCCAAGATTCCTGCACCCAGTGTGCACAACCTGTGTAATCCCATCCCTTGAGTGGGTGGGTCTGACCTAACCAAGTGAACTCTTTAAAAGAGGGTGAAGAGGTTAGACATCAAAGAAGTCAGAGATCAAAAGCATGACAAGAATTTTTCTTGAAGGTGCCAATACATACATTGTAAGAGGGCTACAGGATCAGAAATTAAGAGAGGCCTCCAGGAGCTCAGAGCAGTCCCCAGTGATAGCCAGCAGGAGAGTGGGCAACTCAGTCCTACAACCACAAGCAACTAAATTCTTGATGCCAGCCTCATGAGACCCTGAGCAGAGAACCCAGCCACATCACACTTTCACTTCTGCCCCACTTTCTTACTGGTTGTCACCAGCAACTGCTCTGAGCTCCTAAGTGATTATGAATTTGTGTATTAAGTGGCTAAGTAATTTGTTACATGGCATAGAAAGTAATTTGTTACATGGCATAAGCTTTCTATGGCACAGGGCTTGTTCCTCCCTTTCTACAATAGATCAGTCCACCTTTCCTGGGTCCTCTGTCTTATTAAAAATAGCTCTTATTTGGTTGTTGATTATATTTTTCCCTTGCATTAATATATAACCTCTTCCTTTTAATCCATAATCTTCTTCTTTTTCCCCCTACTGCTTCCTTTAGGACTTTGCATAGCAATTTTGAATCTACTCCACACATACTGTTATTTAAACACTTACAGAAAGCTATTATCTTCCCCCCACCCTCTACAAAGCATCTCTAGGGCACATATTATTGCAAGGCTTCTATTTTCATCCTTGCAACCAGTGTTCTGAGCTTACAGAGCTTATCGTGTTTATTATATAACAACAAGACACAAGCCAAAACAACTTGCTGTGGGTTTTTAAACATAGCAACAGCAAAAATCTTTTCTGGGCTTGAGGAAGAGACACTTCAAAATTCAACAATTTTCTGGTCTATGGGATGAAAAGTCTAAAACTGGTCGTGAAGGTATTTAAGTACACTTACGGAAAACCCACCGCTCCACCATCAGACACCATGACGCAAAGTGCTCCCTGGTTGGGATTCACAGGCTGCCTCCCAAAGGAGTCTTGCCTGTGTGGCGAACGCTCTTGGAGGAGAAAGAGAAAGGCACGAAACAGGGACCCTTCAAAGTTGGCACCGTGGTAGTTCACTCTGTGGCACAGGGCTTGTTCCTCCCTTTTGTTTCCTTTTCTAATGGGGGGACCATTAGCAGTTGTATTCAGATGAAGAGCTCATTTAGTTGTAAGTGCTAAAAACTCAATCTGGTTTAAGCACAGCAGGTTTCTTGGCTGACATAAGGGATTGAGCCAAGCCTGTGCTATCTTCCTTGACCTCTCCTGTTGGTTTCATTCTCAGGCACCCACTCCCCACACAATGCCCTTCGCTTCTCCACCCCCAGTCCAAATATCTGGCCTCACCCCATGGCAAAAGGGTGCCTCTTTCCTCCATTCCAGCCATGAACCCTGGGTTGACCCCTTGAGCTTTGGTCACACGTCCTCCCCTTAAATTAGTGCTGTGGCCAGGGAGATGGAACCCATTGGCCAGCACAGGGCATGTGTGTCTACTTCTAGAGCAGGAAGATGGGGACTGAGCTTGGGGGAAGGCTGGGTCCCCAGAGGAAAACCAGGGTGCTGTTACCATTGTAGGATGAAGTGGACACTGGGTGAACCACACACGGCCTCCAGCAGCAGGATCTATGCCAGCACCAGATAGAGCTGGGAAGACTTGAAGCCCAGAGAGGCCACAGGGAGCAGAAGCTTCTCTCCAGCTGGATGCTTCCACTGAGCCACCCAGCATCCGACACATTCATCTATGTGTGTGTGCGCTTCTCACCCAGGTCGCCTGCCTGGAAGTAGAGTCACCATGGAGGTGCATAGCACAGTGTTTCTCTGCCTCAGGCCCTCTAATTTTCTCTCTTGGCCCACAAGGGGTGGGAATTTCTGTGCCCCTGTCCCTGTGTTTCTCTGAGAGTGGTGGACTGCCTTTTCTCCCTACACAAAAATCTGAGGCTGTGGGTGGGAGTCTGCATGCAGCAGGAAGTGGGAAGCTGAAGTAACCTTGGATCCCAGGTCTTTGGAAGCCCAAATTGTCCCTAGAGCTGTCGCTTCTCTCCATGGGCTTGTAGGGTTGTTCTGTCCCCACCCGTGTCCTGTTGGATCTGCCACCCAGCAGGACCTCTCTGGATCCATTTCCTATGGGATCTCCCCAGAGCATCTTTCAGGGGTGCCATGACCCCTACTTTCTGGGTTGAGGTAGTAGGAAGGGCTCTGTCTTCTTTCTTTCTTATTTCTTTCTTTCTTTCTTTCTTTCTTTCTTTCTTTCTTTCTTTCTTTCTTTCTTTCTTTCTTTCTTTCTTCCTTTCTTTCTCTTTCTTCTTTCTTTCTTTCTTCTTTCTTCCTTCCTTCCTTTCTTTCTTTCTTTCTTTCTCTTTCTTTCTTTCTTCTTCTTTCTTTCTTTCTTTCTTTTTATTTCTTTCTTTCTTCTTTCCTCTCTCTTTCTTTCTTTCCTTCTTTCTTCCTTTCTTTTTGAGACAGACTCTTGCTCTGTTGCCAGGCTGGAGTGCAGTGGCACGATCCCAGCTCACTGCAACCTCTGCCTCCTGTGTTCAAGCCATTTCCCTGCCTCAGCCTCCTGAGTAGTTGGGACTACAGGCATGTGTCACATGCATGTCTAATTTTTTGTATTTTAGTAGAGATGGGGTTTCACCATGTTGGCCAGGATGGTCTCAATCTCCCTACCTCGTAATCCACCTGCCTCGGCCTCCCAAAGTGCTGGGATTACAGGCATGAGCCACCACACCCAGCTTCTTGTTTCTAATTGAATACTGGCCTATGCCAGACTAACCAAACACTCCCTGATCATTCAAAGTGTCTACTCCATGCCCTTGGGCAGATTCCATTTCTGTTTAGCCATAGAGACTTCCCTATTCCCTCAAAGAGTTAAACACTCTTTGCTGGGAAAGGCAGGAGATTTTCTCTATGTAGTAGAGATCTTCTCTACATATTTGGAAACTTGGCTCTTAGCAGGTGGGTGTATTATATGCAAAAATAAAGTGCCTATGAGTTTTGCTGAATTTTATTAATATTGAGGGTCCATTATAAAAGCACCCATTAGGTCTATAACAGCATACCTTAAAATATATCCTAGTGGGGTTATCTATTTGATCATCATGCTTAAGTCATTAATTTTGTACTTAATGTAGGAAATATGATTGATTCATTCATGTGGCAAACTTGTACACATTAAATATCTATACAGTGTGAGGTACTGAGCTGAGGAATACAAAGATATCTAACACTCATATCTTCTCCTCCAAAAGTTTATAATCTACTAGATGAAGCGAGCGCATAGCACAAAAATAGCTAAACGAGGTTCTGTTTCAGAATCAGTCTGTTTCTTGAGGAATACAGATTATTTGAAGTTCACCTAACTTCAAGCTTAAGGAGTTTTTACTGAAACGAACTAAGGTTTGGCTCAGGTGTCTGGTGCTAGAAAGGGCCACTCAGAAACTCCAAATGCCACAAAGGTTCTGCATCCTGGGAGGGGCTACAGAATTTCAGGGATTCTTTCACTTCAAAATTAAGAATTTTTTGCTGTAAGAAGCTGTGTAAAACCCAATGGAAAAAAATGACTAAATAATTCTTGATCTTCTGGCATTTAACAGAGCAAAATGTAAGTGGAAAGGGAGCAGGAATATCAGATTATTCATGGCACATTAAGTATCTGAAGAACCTGTGGGTCAATAGAATGTACAGAGAACCCTTTAAAGGGAATGTATCATGTGAAGTCATAAACAGATGGATGGCAGAGTGAGTGGGCAATGATGAGGGGACGTGTGTCAGACACTGACAGGGTCTGCTACAGGCGCCAGGGAGAAGCCGTCTCAAAGACTAGAGCCCCACGTCTATGCATCTCTGGAAAGGACCCTGGTTGGCTTATCTTTGGTCACAAGTCACCCTTGGGCCAGTCAATCACCTGGGCCCAACATAGCTGATGGCTCTGTAGTAGCCATGGGAGCTACTGAGGTGGGAATATGTGGGGAAAGTAACCATGAGGGGTGTGCCCTAACTGGGGAGATAGTCCTAGAAAAAGGGTGCCCAGTATGCCTGACTTTAGCTGGAGAAATTTCTGTAGCTCAGCTTTCATTCTCCATCATTCGGCATTGAGTTACTCTTGTTTTGTCTGATTCTGACATTAGGTCCCAGTTCTAAAAATATATATATTAAAAAAGCCATGGATGAGACACTAAAGTGCCACCTGGATTGCTGAAACAGGGTATTGTTCTTCACCGTGCACCATGTGAGTCCTGCCCACAGTAACTCAGTTCTTCTAGAACTGGACTTCTCAGAGACCAGGGTCTGTATGAGTCTGTTCTCACGCTGCTGGTAAAGACATACCCGAGACTGGGTAATTTATAAAGGAAAGGTTTAATGGACTCACAGTTCCACATGACTGGGGAGGCCTCACAATCACGGCAGAAGGCAAAAAGCACATCTTACATGGCAGCAGGCAAGAGAGAATGAGAGTCAAACAAAAGGGGAAAACTCCTTATGAAACTGTCAGATCTCATGAGACTTATTTACTACCATGAGAGCAGTGTGGGGGAAACTGCCCCATGATTCAATCACCTCCCACTGGGTCCCTCCTGCAACAGGTGGGAATTATGAAAGCTACAGTTCAAGATGAGATATGGGTGGGGACACAGCCACACCATCTCAGGATCCTTACCCTGAACCTGTGCCTATGACCCAGCTCCACTCTCGCTGGTAGACTAACCTGATGCTAACTGCAGAACATCCCGTTTTCCTGGAATCTCAGCTGCTATGCTTTTAGCTCCATGTCTGCCTCTTCCTGCTGCAGTTACTGAGCCATGATGACTGCCTCACAAAGGCTGTCTGCAAGGCAAGGCTCAGTGTGAAGGCTTTGCAGAGGCTTGATCCATAGAGCGAAATAGAAAGCGACCGAGAGAGTCAGGTTCCTGGAGGCTGCCAGCACCAAAATTGTCAGGGAGGGCAGGGTTACTCCAAAAGATCGTCTGGGGGCGTTCTCACACCTCCCTGACATCTTCTTCTCTCTATACTTTTGATACAGGGAATTTGAGCTGGCTGGAGTGGGTGGATGAGGTGGAATAAGAAAAAAACGCAAATAGCTTCAGACACTCAAATCACAAAATCTTACTGTGGATTCTGTCCATTCCTGGACATTTGGCTCGTTTTAGGAGGATGCTTGAAAACCACACACACATGCAGATTACACGCAGACCACCACATCACTCCCCAGCACTTTCCAGTTTCCTGGATGTGACCCTTCAGAAACCTCCCTGGGGAGGGTCTTTGCCATCTCCTCCCCTCCCCAGAGAACTGTAGGGTAAAGGAGGGCTAAGAGTGAAGCTTGACAGTAAACTGGCGGTGTGCACCTCTTCTTACTCAAACCCCCTCCGAGGATGTGAAAGCTAGCCCACATCTGTGAGGCTTGCCAGACTCCAGAGATGACTTCCAAGACTGACTCCACAGGCTAGGCAGGAAAGGTTTCTCTGCTCTCTGGGCAGTAAGAAGGTCATCAAGGCTGGACATGGTGGCTTATGCCTGTAAGCCAACACTTTGGGAGGCCAAGGCAAGCAGATCCCCTGAGCCCAGGAGTTGAGATCAGCCTGGGCAACATGGTGGGACCCCCATCTCTACAAAAAATGCAAAAATTAGGCCGGTGTGGTGGTGCACACCTGTAGTCCCATCTACTCTGGAGGCTGAGGCAGGAGAATTGGCTGAGCCAGGGAGCTGGAGGCTGTGGTGAGCTGTGATTGCTCCACTGAGCCACTGCACTCCAGTCTGGGTGACAAAGCAAGATGCTGTCTCGAGAACAAACAAACAAAAAGCAGTGTTCAAAACATCTGGTTTTGAAAACCTCGGGGATATGAGGAGACTGATCTCTAAGGTACACAAGTCCTTGGTTTTTAGAATCACTAGACTTTGTTTTTTAAAACAAGCAAACTCTCATAGCTAATAACAATATATTGTGTACTTGAAAATTGCTAAGAGAGTAGATCTTAAGTGTTCTTACCACAAAAAATAAGTGTGTGAGGTAATGCATATGTTAAATAGCTTGATTTAGCCATTCTACAAAGTGTGTGTGTGTGTCTGTATATATATGTATACAAGCATCATGTTTTATACCATAAATATATACAGTCTTTACTTGCCAATTTAAAAAAGAAAGAGCCAACTCTCAAA